GAAGATCTGAAGACTATCGCCCACTCTCCTTCTCTCTGAAATGTATCAGCTGTTCACTGAGATCATCAACAACAGATTGTCAACAAGTCTGGACGAATAGCATCAAAATAGCAGGCAAGATTCTGAAGATTCTACATCAAAGCGGATAACGTATTTGCTTTACGTCAACTACTAGAGCGCGTGAAGGAATTCCACTCTCTGTGTACATCATTCGTTGAATCTGAGAGAACGTTCGATACTCTTCAGTACGACACAGTGTCGACTACGCTGGCACAACATGACATCGACTCCTGTTACATCAACCTGCTAAAAGAAGCGAACTCTGACTTTTTCACAAGGTTGTTCGAAAGTCACCCGGATTCCTGTGAGGAATGGCGCTAAACAGGGTGCATCATCTCCCTTAAACTTTTCACTGTTTGTTTGGAAGTGGTGTTCCAAAGGATAAACTGAAAAGGAGGAATTAATATCAGTGGTGAATTGCTCAGCTACCTAAGATACGCTGATGACGTGTGTTACTTGCGCAAGACCAGTCGGCTACCATTCATGCTGTAAGAGCTCTAGAGAAATAGCGCAGTAGTCCAGCCGTGAATCAGTAGTTCAAGGAAGAAAATACTGCGACCGGATGCCCTGCAGAATGTAAGATATATTAAACGGTGAAAAGATCGAAGAAGATAGCTATAGAAGTCGATAAGTACATTTTTCTGGGCCAGGAGATCAACATGCGCTATGATTAAACTAAAGAGATTCAGTAGAAAAAAAGCCCGGTCGGCATTCATTTCATTGCAGCGATGACGTCTTCATCAGCAAGTCTCATGTCCCTCTTTTTATTTCTACCGTCCTTTCGGCAATGTTATTTGCCTCTGAAACGCTGTCACTCATTAAATCCAAAGAGCCCCAGCTCTTTCTCTCTGAGAGAGCCGTGCAAAGAAGAGCGTTGGAAATTGTACTTTGCGATGACATCCCATACGCAGTGATCAGACAGCGGACTAGAGTGAAGGGCACTGTCGTCAAAATCAGAATAGAGAAGCTGCGGTGGGTCGTGCATGTAGCTCGGCTCACCTACTGGTGATCATCAACGTTGATCATCGATTATTATCCTTCGGTGTAGACCGCTTCATCGCCCACAACGATAGTGGGAATATTGTATCGGCATCCGGGAAGGCCACGCTCGGAATAAGAATGCTCGAAACCGGAAGGAATGTTGGGCATGTTGCGGCTGGCGTGATTCGTCGTCGCTTACTGACTGGTCTAAGTAATCTATGCGATATTTGCTTACTACGTAGTCGCTTATGTTGTTTTGTTGTTCCTAGTCGCCATTTTTGTGTATCATGTTGGTACGGCACATCACTATCTAATATACATTTATTTTTGTCTTTTCATGTATGTTCCCTAGGGCTATAACTTATAAAGTCGCAGTAATAGACGAAACAAACATACAAAGTAACACAGATTATCAACATCATCAGCCTTTTCGTATCTACTGTTGGGTAGATACTGCTGTAAGACTTTTCCATAAACTTTCGTTTTCTGTTATTCTTATCCGTTTTGATCCAACAAACTTCTTCAGCTCATTCTTCCATCGATCTTCAGGTATTCCTACCAGCCATTTACTCTCTCTTGGAATCCTGTCTAATAATGCCCTCACTCTGGTCCAGCGAAAGTCAGTTCTTCTAATTTTTCACTCGTGCAATGACATATTAGGCTGCTGGTTTTGCTCTTATTAACAAGTCAAAAACCGTAAGTTGCTGCATTATCGATTTAAAAGTGTCATTTCACTAACTCATGAACGTCGTCTTTGCTGTAGTATTTCGCTTTACCGGCCGTAAAACAGTATATTTCCTTTAGTGTGCACCGGAAGAGGACTTAGCGCTTGACAGCACCCAGTGAACATCCATAGATGATACTGACGAATGAATCCATGCCTATTGTATATTTCTAATAAAATTATTGAACATTAAATATTTATCTCTTGTCG